TCAGAATATCATCAGACCACATGATAGCAAGTAGACTCTTAAGCAAAGATCACTAAGTATAGACCTTAGAGTTATCCCAAGAGGGTTAAAATACAAGTTCCATAATCTCTGAATATGTGCTGCAAAGAACTAGAAACAAGAAATGAGTAACATAGCTCGGCGCCTGTGGCTCAAGTGGCTAAGGCGCCAGCCACATACACCTGAGCTGGCGGGTTCAAATCCAGCCCAGCCCATCAAACAATAATGATGGCTGCAACCAAAAAAATAGCCAGGTGTTATGGTGGGCGCCTGTGGTCCCAGCTACTTGGGAGGCTGAGGCAGGAGACTCGCTTGAGCCCAGGAGTGGGAGGTTGCTGTGAGCTGTGATGCCACGGCACTCTACCCAGGAGGACAGCTTGAGGCTCTGCCTCAAAAAAAAAAAAAAAAGAAATGAGTAACAGAAGGAAAGAGGTAACCTTCTATTAAAAGTGGAAGAAAAAGTCCCTTCCCACAGATTTATCCTCAGGGGTGTGCTTGTTCCTGTATGTAGTTGTGCATCTCTGCTTTCCTGGAGACCTCAAACCATCATTTATCATCCCTCTCTATCATCTTCAGGTTCTTAGTCTACTGACTGTTTCTATACAGAGTAAAAAAAAAAAAATTCTTTCACCCGTATTGAGCCTTTCTCCTGAGCCCCCTGTCTTTATCCTGTTTCTCCTTCCTTTAACAGCGAAGCATTTCTAGCTTCACTTGGCTTTCACTTCATTCTCTCCTCACTGCCACCCGGCTCCTCCCTCCACCATCCTCACCAGTTCTGAGAGTTGAGCCTTCCTTTCCATGTAACGGAAGTCTCTCCCCACGTCCAGTCTGCACGGACAGCTGTCAAACCAGCCTTCTTTACATCTCAAATGCTTCAGCTTTGCTTCTGCCTTATTTCAATCCTTCCTCATTTCTCAATTGGAGTTATTGAAATGCTCTTGAAATGCAACTCCCTTTCATACCCAACAGCTCTCATCCTCCTCCAGGCTGATGTCTACGTCTTTCTAAAATGAAAGTGTAGTCTTGTCACTCCTGTTCAAAAGTCAGCCCAGGCTGGGCACAGTGGTTCACATCTGTAATCCTAACACTTTGGGAGGCCAAGGTAGGAGGATCGCTTGAGGCCAGGAGTTGGAAACCAGCCTGGTCACATAATGAGAACTTGTCTCTACAGAAAACAGAAAAAAAAATCAACTGGGTATGGTAGTGTGTATAGTCCCAGCTACTTAGGAGGCTGAAGTGTGAGGATCGCCTGAGCCTAGTAGTTTGAGGTTGCAGTGAGCTGTGATCAGGCCACTGCACTCCAGCCTAAGCAACAGAGGCAACCCTGTCTCCAACAAAAGAATCATCCCGGTAAAATATGTCCAAGTCCTTAGCACTGTATGCTCAAATGACCCTGCTGATCCCTCGTCACCAGATACTCCTCTTTGTTACTCCGCTATCCAGCCACACTGAACCAGGCACACTTCCCCAAGGTGCTAGGCTATCATTGCCTTTGTCCTGTAAATCTGTTCTATTTGTTCCCCCTCTTCCCTTTGTCTTATCAAATCTTTCCTGTTCCTAGTTCAAAATTCAATTCATTGTCAAATCCTCTAGTACCTCACCCCTCAAGGTCCCCAGGCCGGCACCAGTTAACCGCATTGCATGGGAGCTAAAAGAGACCTGCAGAATCTCTAGCCCCAGCCCAGATCCACTGAACCATCTGCATCTTAATATGGACAGGGCCCAAGTGATTCGTGTATACACGTTAAAATTTAAGAATACGCTCAAATCCAGTGTGCATGGATGAGGTAAATAATGTATCAAATCACTGAGACTGATGTTCATTTATTGGGATGAAGGTGGGCAATGAGAACATTTATCAGCAAAGAAATGAAATAGAAATGGATGATGTTAAAAAATTATCTGTCAGGGCCCCGCACAGTGGCTTATGCCTATAATCCCAGCACTTTGGGAGGCCAAGGCAGGAGAATCACATGAGACCAGGAGTTTGAGACCAGCCTAAGCAATACCAGCCTGAACATCCCCCCGCTACAAAAAAAAGAATTAAAATTTAAAAAATGTTTTTGCCATAAGCACATAAATTTTACAACACATAGGTAACTGCTTAACTTACATGGAGAAACAAATTACCAAAAATCAAGAAGGGAAAATAAATAGATCAGAAGATAGAACTTAAGAGAGATTTTGTGATTTAGAAAGAGAAACTGGGGAGAATGTAGGAGAAGAAATAGCTTAGAAATTTGCCCAATAGATTTCCCAAAATATCTGGGAGAGCATTTTGGATAGATCTATACAAGAATGATACATACCTCTAAATATCAAAAATTGTGTATTTTTAAAACATTGTAATTAAGCTCTAAAGTTTATAAATGGAATATCAAGCTCCAGGGCATGAATATAAAATATGCCCCTTTCCAATCTATTTTGATGAGAAAGCATGTGATATTATCTATAGGATTATGATTTTAAAACCTCCTCCCAATCCCCCCATAACATCGACCAGTTTTCACTTTTGAGAGGCTTTCATATATGTCCTGATTCTTGCAGCAGAAGAATGGAAAATGTGCTGGCAACTCAAGTAAGACTAGAAATGGGTGCCACTCCCTGGCATCTATGTGTGAGGCTTCGTATTGGAGGATTTTCACATGAGGTATTTATTATTTGCTTTTGAATATATAAAAACATTTGCTTTAATTTATTTTCCCTAAAGAGATTTATATCAAAGGGAGGAGAGTTTGAATTTGAAATGTCTACAAGAATTCTGTAGGATGGTACCAAAACTCAACTTGGAAAACAAGTATCTAATGTATCTGGAAATTTAAGAGATATCCCAGTTATTAAAGACTTTTTTTTGTTTTGTTTTTTTTTTGAGACAGAGCCTCAAGCTGTCCCCCTGGGTCGAGTGCCGTGGCATTACAGCTCACAGCAACCTCCAACTCCTGGGCTCAAGCGAGTCTCCTGCCTCCGC